AAGCACACACACCCTATAGCAAAAACCTCTCCAAAGAAAAAAAAAAAAAGAAATGACCATTTCTGTAATACTGTTAACTGAACAGATTCACCAGTTTTCCCACTAATGTCCCTTTTCCGTTCCAGGATCTAATCTAGGACATCATATTGGATTTAGTGCAACTTATTTTTAGACTTTGTTTTTTAGAGGTTTTTGCTATAGGGCGCATGCGCTCTCCAGACAGACAGAGAGAGACAGAGAGATAGAAAGCGAGAAATCACCCCCCTAGGGGGGATGGCCACGCCGCAATCCCTTCTCCTCCATTCTCCTCTCTGGATCTTGGGAACGCATGCACATGGGTCCCAGTGTGAGTTTAAGCCACCAGGTCTGGAACTCGAACCCCAGTCGACTACCTGGGAGTCCAGCAACATAGGCATTTCGCTAACTGCTGGTCCCACTTTTAGACTTTTTAAAAAATGCCTTTGAATTTTCTTGTTACAGTCGCTCTATTATTTCTGTCATTGTCTTGAGCTTCTCTGTTATTAGCATGGTGCTTTAGCAGATCTGCATTTCAATACAGAACAATTTAGGTCAACATGCATCTTTTACTAGTAGGCAGACATTAATTAGTATGTTTTTGTTTGTTTTCCTAAGTGGATGGGTTTTATTAATTAACTTACCAATCTTAGTTCTGAAATACATTTGAAATGGCTTACAAAAACTGCCTACAATAAAGCATGTTTCTTTTTTTTTTTAAATAAAAGATAAATAAGTGATGTTAAGTGGAAGATAAAGGTAAGGATGGTTGGGAAAAAAACCAAACACTAAAATGAGTCCTTCCAGGGGTGTGTTGGAATATGGGTATGTATGCTGCCAGGTTCACTTGTTAGCCTGACTTCAGATTTGGCCTATGTTCCCTTCAGGCCCAAAGTTCCCAAGGTAAAGAGAGAAGCACTGATTGATTGTGTCCATTGGAACAAACAGGTGTTAGAAGTGAAAACATTTCTGGCTCAGAGATCCTGGAGAAAGTTCCCTCATAGATCATCCCAGAGGAATTTGTCCCGTGGATCTTAGGATGATGTTGCCAAGTCTAGAAATTCATATCCTTCAACTTTGGCAGATTTTCTTAAATAATTTCTCTACAATTATAATAGTATGGTCATCATGGGTCTTGTTCTGTTTTTTTTTTTTTTTTTCTTTAAGACTTTCTATTTTGTCGCCATTAGACCTTCAGAACTTGTTGCCTAAAATTTCTTATCAGCCTGCAGTGTTTTTCATCTCATTATCACTTTATTTCCTGAGAGAGTGCCTCAGGTGTATAGTCTAGCTTTTCTGTTGCCTTTCTGGGCAAGTGAAGAAATCTTTATTTTCGTGAATTGAGGTTTGATATCTTTCATTGAATCTAGTTCTTATTTCCTGTTTGAAATAGCACCTCGTACCTCTAAGGACGTTTGTGGTTGTTACATTAGCACACTTGGCTTCTTTCAAGTTTGTTTTGGTTCAACAAACTTTATTGATTTAGACTCTGTTCTTAGACTCTGTTGGTTCTTATATTAGTCATTTTTTAATATTAAAAGGATAGTATTTTGGTTATGTTGGCTGAATGCAAAATATTTTTGAAATTTATTCCACCTGTTTCTTCTTTTAATTGACTACTAGAATGTTTTAAGTTACATAGATGACTTGCTTTGTATTTCTGTGGACAGTGCCTCTTCGAGACCGTTATAAAGACTTGGGCTTTTATTCTGAGTAAAATGGGGAGCCATCGAAGGTTTATGGATATTCATACAAGTGTTTGACTTGTAGAACAATTCTGGAGAATAGAAGTATACATAGTTAAAAATAAATAAGTAAAGCTTGCTACCTTAAAAAGTTTGACATTCTAATGATTCAAGGGAAATGTAAAGAAATGGACAAAGCATTTATGACTGAGGGAACATGAAGTGTCCATATTCCACTTTCTGAAGTAGACTTAGCCACCATCTTGGGGTGCAGGGTACCAGGGTCAATAGATTTGGCTGATGCCAGCATGAAATATTTTAAGTATTATTTTAATTTTATTTTTTCTATGGGGAGGGGTAAAGAGAGAGAGAGACAGGCATCCCCAACAGAGTCTTCACTCTGCCGTTCACCCTTGGCCAGCCCACATCACAGACTTGGGTCCACACTGGTGTGTACACTGGTCTGTGTGTGTACAGGCAAGCCTGGGAGCCTCCCGTGAGGGTTCAGTATCACAGGGCACTGTGTTACTGCCGTGCCGTCACAGTCTGTCATTGCCATTTTCATCATCATTCGTTTGGGGAGTCACTGGAGAAAGAACAATGAGCAAAAAAGACTTCTGCCTTCACTGAGCTTCCTGGCTGGTGGAAAATCTGTGATAGAGGAGATGGGGAGTCTTAGTAATAGGTCGACCAGCTGATCCAGAAATAAGCCAGCAGGAGGCCTTGCCTGAGGAACACTGACGGGGCCACATTCAAGTTTCTTGCGCTGAATGGAGCATGGTTCACAGAGGACGGAGAGGAAGACAGGGGTGGGAGTGGGCTAAGGCTGGCTTTTGAAGGGCCTTACAAGCTGCATGAAAGGGGTGAGGCCTATTTTTGAGAGTCTAGGAGCCATTAGAGGGTTTTAAGTAGGGGCTGATGTGACTGGGTTTGCATTTTACAAATATGGTGGCTGAGGATGATGGATTAGAACCAATATTCATACAGGGAGACTATGGGATTATTGCTTTTTTATTATGATTACTATTATTTTCCCTAGTGTTTCTCCATTGATGATTGAGAACTAGATTACCCAAGTTTAGGTAAATGGGTCCATGTTCAGAAACACCCAGTATGAAGCCCACGGGGAGAAGTTGTACTGTATATGTGTCTGTACAATGTTCTTAGCATTTGTATCATCAAGTATCATTTAAGTCCATTCCTGAGACCCAGTAAAGTTGGAAAGAAGTATTTATCAAACTTCTACAGTCTGATGAGTTGTGTCAGACTCTGCCTAGGGAGATAGAAAAGCTTGCCATGAAAGTTGCTTATAGCAGATCTGTGTTGTTGACCTTCCCCATCCTGTCAGTTGTCTTCCTGCAGTTCTTTTGGCAGGAGGAATGTGGGAGCGCTGGGAGAGATAATGGTTCAAACCACTTTTCGCCCGTGTTGGCATCAGATGTGCTGACTTCCAAATACAGACTAAGAATAGCTTCAAAACTTGAAATTGTTTTCTCACAGTTACGTGGTGACATTAGGTATTTTTCTTGCCTATACAGTTCTTGGTTTGGTTTATCTTGACGAAAGTGAGGAATAATTCAATAATAGGAAAACATGCGTGAGTACAAGGAACAAACCAACCCATAGGGCTTCCATTTGGAGATAGATTCTTTAAAATCTTGGTAGAATTTTTTCCCCTTTTGTTTTGTGTTATGGATTTATATCCATTTGTAATGTGCTTTTCTGAATCAGTAGTTTTTTTTATAACATTGTTGCAACTATCTGTATATATCCATTTTAAAAATTTTTGTTATATTTGAAGGCATCTTTGATGTTTGCAAAATAGCATACCAAGTGTGTGTATGTTGTGTGTGTGTATGTATGCATGTGCACATGTGTGTACATGTTTATCCTCCTGTTGTTGGCTATCGGAGGTATCCATTTTTTTCCATTACAAATGACAGTGAGGTCTCACTTTGGCAGCATATATATTAAAATAATAAATAATAGTGGGATAGCACTACTATTGTACCGAAAGCCCATATAGTCATCTCAAAGTCCCTTATTAGGAAAGATTTAACACTATAGTCTTTATAGTTTGTTTCTGAATTTCTGGGAGCCAGTTGTGGACCAGTACCACTAGAACTTAGTAACACATTTACCAAATGAGAGTTCCTGGATAATAAATTAATTGGGGCTCATTAGGATTCAGTAATCTTCCCTTATCTATGGTTTTGTGTTCCACGGTTTCAGTTACCTGCGATTAACTGCAATCTTCAAATTGGTAAGTGTAGTACAATAAGGTGTTTTGAGACCTTGAAGTTGAGAGAGATCACATTCACTTAGCTTTGATTATAGCATATTGTTTCAATTTTTCTATTTTATTGGTTTTGTTGTTGATCTCATATTGTGCCTAATTTATAAACTAAACTTTATCATAAGTATGAATGTATGGGAGAAAACAGAGCTATCCATGGTATTTAGGAATCCTCTGGGAGTCTCGTGAGGTACTCGTGTGGAGGAGGGGAGGTGCTGACCATGAGCATATGGCCACCTAGTATTATAGCTGCCTGACACCCCCCCGAGGACTTGTCTCTTTCCCTCCTTCGTACGCTGCCTAAGCTCGCTCTGCAACCTTAAGTCCTCATACTGTATTATTGCCTCTCAGGGGTCGGAGGAGCAAACTGTCGTCTATGTGGTAGGAAAGGCGGGCCGCCAGCACTGGCAGCATGTCTACACAGCAGTGACCAGAGGCCGCAGCAAAGTGTACGTCATTGCAGAAGAGTCCCAGCTCCGGAGTGCAATCGTTAAAAACAGTGTTCCCAGAAACACTCGTTTAAAACATTTCTTGCAAAATAAGCTCTCCATTAGCTGTGCATCTCCAGCAGATTTTCCGTCCCCATCGATGAGCTCCGGGGACAGCGGGAGACCCAGCACACAGCCGCCCACCGAACTCTTCCCTACAGTCCCTTACGACACGGCAATAAAGGACATCACCGGGTGTGAGGTCTCTTTGGCCGAAGATTGGATGCTTCCCTTTGCTGAAAGGTGCCAGTTATCTTCATCCGATGAAGTGGACACAGATGACGATTTTTCAAAATTGCGAGGGTCCAAAAGAACCTGCGGTGTGAATAATGATGAGAGCCCAAGCAAAGTCCGAATGGTAGGAGTGATGTTTGCGTGACCTCAAGTTTTATTTCGATACAGCTAACTTCGGTGTGCTGACAGATGCCTGTGTACTTCTGTTAGCGTTGTATGGTGCCGTGGGACTTAAAAACAGCTGCTTGCTGGTCTCTGCTTGCGCTGTCGTCTGACCAGGGGCTCTTGTGCACTCTCAGTCTGCTTGAGGGTCGCAATCCATGGGAGGCGGCGCCTCAGAGAGACCTCGCTGTCATTGTACACGTTTCCCCACTGTCTTCCTTGTTCACATCCCCTCCCTCATCTCCCACCCTCACTCTGCAGATCCTCCTAATCCCATTTTTATCCCCACAAAGCTTGATGTGGCTTGTTCCAGTCATCTTCTCGATAACTTCAGGGACCTCCACTTAGGTCTCATTCTCCTGGACATTTCCCTTATGTTTAAGTTTTGATTGCTACTGCTGTTTTAGTGTTTCCCTCCCTTGTTGTCAGTGTCAACTCACGGGTCCTCTTTCCTTTCTCCATTTCCCCACTCCTTCCTTTCCTTCCACTGGAGACATTTCCCCAAGGCTCACTCTGTTCTCTGAGAACTGAGCCTGGTCTCACAATCGCAGCTGTCTGCTTTGCACCAGCGATTCCTTCACCAGGCTTCCCACTGTGTGCTGCGTTCCAGGCACTGAGAACTTGAGGGTAAGTGGGCGACAGTCTTCCCGCTCTTGCACTGATTGCCCGTGTGGACGCAGGCAGCTCTGCAAGGAACTCGGTGATTCGCTGTGTGCTCGGACACTGAAGAGGAGTTAACGAACCAACTCCCTAATCTGTGTCTTTGTTCTTGAACAGCAACTTTTTGGAACCACAGCACAACGTCTTACTCTCTTTTTCAATTTCCCCGAATCAATCATGGTCCTCCAAGTTACACAGCTGAAGATGTTGGCGTTATCTTAGGTTCACCTTATTTACACTCTGCCTCTGGGGAGTTGCTGGCTTTATTACCGAATGTGTCTCTCCCATTCTGTCAAGGCTGCCTTTTTTGGGGTCCTTATCTCATCTTCTTGGTTGATTGATGATCTGCCTGCCTCTGCCTCTCCTGTTGCCATTTTCGTAATACACATTCTGCATCGTTACCCAATTATGCTCTTCCCGTTGGTGTTCAGCTCACTTCTTTGTTCAGAAGCCCTCGTGGCCCCCTGGAACCTGCAACATAATTCTAGACTGTTTAGCTTGGCCTTTGACCTTTTTCATTTGATTCCGGCTCCCCAGCGTTATTTCGTTTCCTACTATTATTTCTCTGCTTTAGTCAAGGCAGTGTCGTTTCCACTAAAATGAGTTAAACTCATTGTCATCCCTTCGTTTTGGCTTTTGCTGTGTGACTTGGCTCGAATGCCTCTTTTTCTCTGCCTTTCCTCATTCAACATTTGAAAAAAAAATTCAGCCAAAATTAGAGGCAAAAAAAAAAGAGAAAAGGAAACAACAACAAAAACAAAATTGCCATTCTCTGATCTAAATGTTGGAGGGAGGAAAGTGAAGAAGTTCCTGGTTCCATGGACATTACATTCTACTGATGGGTTGTTGTCCATGAATACAAAAGACAATAAAAATTTTAGATTAAGAAAGAACCTATGAAAAAAAAAAGAAAACAAGACCTGGGGAGGGTGGGATGAACGGGAGGTACTGCTCGGCCGTGGTGGCCAAGCGAGGCCTTGCTGAGGAGACAGCATGTGAGCTGAGCTCTGAGTGATGCAGGGAAGAGCATCCCAAGCAGATGCTGTCAAAGATGCAAAGCCTGAAATGGGAATGATCTTATTCACAGGGGAAGGAAGAAGGCCAGTGTGGCTAGCGAATGAGGAAGAGAATGCAAGTAATGATGTTGGAGAGATGGGCAGGGCCGTATCTAATTCTGATGTGGAAGGAGGAACTGGGTTTTACCTTCCTTGCTGAGGGAATCTGTGGACACTAATACATGATGTTGTCCAACACATGCTTTAAAATGACCCCTTTGTCTCCTGTGAAGAGGAAACTATGGAAAGTGACGTGGAGCCAAGGAGGCCAGTTAGAAGGTTGGCCTGGGGAGAGCCTAGTTACAGAGCAGGGGATGGAGACATGATTAGATTCTTGATCATTTTGGAGATGGAATCTGTATAACTTGCTGAGATAGATGTGAAGGGGTGAAAAAAAAAAAAAGTAATCCAGGATGATTCCTGTTTTTCTGGCTAAAGAAAGTTGGAGAATTATAGTATTATTTCCTGAGATGGGAAAGACATGAGAACTCCTTTAGGGAAATGGAGAGTTGTCCTGTGTCATGCTGTCTCTAAGTGGCCAACAAGACATGTAAGTGGACTGGGTAGGTCAGTGATTGGTAAAGGAGCTCAGAGCCTCCGGTTGAAGTTAGGTGGGAAATGTCCATGTGGGAGTCATTAGCATATAGCGGTATTAAAAGGATTAGCAGTACATTACTGCTGTACCATATCCCTGGTCTTTAAAATTCTTAATTTTTGAACAAGGGATTTAAATTTTGTACCGAGCTGCCAGATTATGTACTGGGCCCTGTCTGCACCTTTACATGTTAGATACATGTACTCATTTTGTACGTAGTCCCTTCTACATGCCAGATCCCAAGCGGGGTGTTAGGGAGACCAGTGAGCAAAAGCAGACATGATCCTGCAAGGAGCTACCTGACAGTGGGTTGCTCTGGTTGCTCCAGTCTTCCAAGAGTTGGAAAAAATGTATTCTTTTTCAGAAGCAGTTGGAGGAAATAGAAGAACATAGGGCAAACTAACTACATTTTTAGAAAATTAACTTTGTTTTTGTTTTTATTCTAACAGGTGGAGGAAGCATCTCCACAAATGTCTTCCCGACTTCAGAATTTGAGACTAAATAATTTAGTCCCCCGGGAACTTTTCAGTCCCATAAATAATCAAGAAACGTAATTTTATTTCAGATTGTTTATCTGTTGTTTTCAATTCGAGATAAAATGAACATCGTAACTTCTAAGTATCAAGATAAAAGAAGATGCCTATCACTGGAATTTTATTTTAAAGTGTTTGTGTTAGCAGATGTTTTAAATCCATTTGATCAGAGAAAACCTTAATGATTTCAACATCTGTCCTCGTGAGAAGGTAGCACTGGACATAAATGAAGAAAAAAGGTGCAACTTTTAAAAACTGTTTACTTGAAAAAGTGTCTTACTTTTATGATCATGCCTTATAACTGTCGATGATCATTGGGGTTATCTTTGCCAGTGGGTTGAAGCAATGGTGAAGAAAAAGAAATTGCACCTCTTGGTTTATGGATACGCTTTCTAGGATAGCATTATCTTCTGTAAATGGTCATTGTTCAAGGCTGCCGCTCATTCCCGGGCCCAGCACTCCTGGCACTATTTCATGGAAATGCCTTCTGAATTGGGAACACATCGTCCTGAACATAATCCACTCTGAAAGAACTTTTTTCTCTGCGTTACTTTGTGTTTAAATTTTTATTTATTGTTAAATGATAAAAGAAAAATGTATGATGAAAAACATTTCCTGCTATCTCAAGTTTTAAAAAAAGGTTCATTGAGAGAAAATTCACAAACAGTTCAGGCATTTAAAATGTGCAATTCAGTGGCTCTTAGTCACAGAAGTATGCAACTGTCATCGTAATCAATTTTAGAACATTTTTCTTATCCAGAAAAGAAATCCCAGAAGCCTTAGCTGTATTCCCTGATCCTCTGAGTCCTAGGTAACTGCTAATCTACTTTGTTGAGTTGTATTCTGGGCATTTCCTATCAATGAAATCATGTGCTGTGTGGTCCTTTGTTACCGACTCCTTTGATTAGCATCATGTTTTCAGACACCAGGTTGTATCGGTAATGTATCAGTGCTTCATCTCGTCATTGTCAAAAACATTCCATCGTAGTGATAGAGCCCATTGACTTTATCTGTTTATCAGTTAATGGTTGGTGGTTTCTACTTTTTGGCTACTGTGACCATACTGCTGTGACCATGTTTTTGTGTGGCCTTGCTGTCATTTATTTTACGTGTGGAGTGGAATTGCTGGGCGATAGAGTAACTGTGTTTAACCTTTTGAAGAATTGCCAGACTGTTTTCAAAAGCAGCTGCACCATTTTTACTTTCCAGCAGTGTTTGAGGGATCCCGTTTCTCTCCACACTCTTCAGCATGTGTTATTATCTAACACCTTGATCACAGCCATCCTACCGAGTGTGAAGTGGTGTTTCACTGTGGCTTTGCTTTCTGTTTTCCTTAGGGCTAATAATACTGAACATCTTTCATGTGCTTTTTGGCCATTTATATGTCTTCTTTGGAGAAAATGTGAGTTGTTTATATATTCAAGTCCATTATCAGAAACATGATTTGCAATTTTTCTCCCATCCTATGGATTTTTATATTCTTGGTGGTGTCCTTTGAAGGAAGAGCTTTTACTTCTGATGATGCTTGTGATGTTGGTGATTGTTGTTGCTTGTGATTTTGGTGTTCCATAGAAGAAACCATTGCCCATCCCAAAACATGAGGACTTACTGCTATTTTTCTCTGAAGCAGCTTAATAGTTTTAGCTCTCACGTTTTGATAATGGATTCATTTTGATTTAATTTTGATGTATGATGTGAAGTAGCAGTCACATTTCATTCTTCCTGTTTTTAATTTTTTCCCCCTTACACTTGCTGCAGGGTACGTGCACTTGCAAGCAAGGGACAGAGAGGGAGAGAGAGGGAAAATGAGAAAGCACTCCTTGGGGGGATGGCCACAGCACAGTCCCTTCTTCATTTTCTTCCTGGAATTTGGGGCATGCATACACATGCACCTAGGATGTTTTTCAAGGCACAGGAACTGAACTGTACAGTTGGCTGTGTGGGATCCAGCCACCTTCACCACCACCCCACCAGCTGACCTCACACTTAATTCTTTTGCATGTGGATAACCAATTGTTCCAGCTCCATTACTTGAAGGGATGTTAAAGGTACCCATTGAATTGATATCCTCATTAAAAACTAGTTGACTCAGGCATCGTGGTTAAGGTGGCTGAATCCCACATGGCTGGCTATTTTGGTTCAAGTCCTAGACTTAGTAGCTTCAAAAACTTACTTGGCATATGTGTTTGCATGCCTAAAATCCTGAACAGAACAATGGAAGAGAAAAGAATGAGGAGTGACCATCCCCCATGGGGGATTTCTTTCTCTGTCTCTCTCTCTCTGTCTTTCCCTGGTGAGTGCACATGCCCTGTAGCAAATTAAAAAAAAAACATATGTTGACTCTAAATGTGAGCATTTATTTGTAGATTTTTATTTCTATTACATGATCTATGTATCTCTTCTTATGGCAACAACACACTGTCTTCATTACTGTAGTTTTGTGGTAAGTGGAAGTCAAGAAGTTTAAGTCGTTCAACCTTGTTCTTTTTTTCAAGATTGTTTTGGCTATTCTGGGTTCCTTGCATCTCCATTTAAATTTTAAGATCCACTTGTCAGTTTCTACAACAACAGCAACAACAACAAAAACAGCTGGAATTTTAATGGCAATTTTGTTAAATCTGTAGATCTGGAGAAGACTTCCATTTTAACAATATTGTCTTCTTATTCATGAAAACACAATGTCTTCCCATTTATTTAGATCTCTTTAAATTTCTTTTTAGTATTCAGAATATAAGATCAGTTCTTCTTTATTAAATATACAATGCTTTTTTATTAAGTTTATTTCAAAGTATTTTGCTTTTTGATCCTGTTTTAGATGGGACTTTTCAAACTTTTGGTTTGTTCATTGTTACTATATGGAAATAACGGATTTTTCAAAATTGATCTTGTGTCAGGTCAGCAGGTGCATAATGGTTAACGCCAATTGTTGACCATGGTTTGAGTTTCAGACCTGGTGACTTGAAGCTCACACTGGGCGTGTGTGCGTGTGTGCCCCAAATCCCAAGAGGAGAATGAAGGAGAAGGGGTTGCAGCATGGCCATCCCCCTGGGGGGTGATTTCTCACTTTCTATCTATCTCTCTTGTCTCTCTTGGTTGAGCATATGCACCCTGTAGCAAAAATCTTTAAAAAAAATTGATCTTGTGTCTTAAAACGTTCTTGAACTCATTTATCATTTCCAATAGTTTTTTAGTGGATTTTTAAGGATTTTCTATACATGCAATCCCATTATCTGCAAATAAGAATGGTTTTAAATTTTCTTTTTCAATCTGGATGCTTTTATTTCATTATTTTATTTTCTTAAAGCCCTGGCTAGTACCCCTAGTACACTGTTAAATATAAGTGATGCAAGAGTGAATATCATTTCCTTGTACCTCATATTAGAAGAAGGCAATAAATCATTCACTGTTAACTATGATATTAATATGGGTTTTTCCTCGAAGCCCTTTATCTGTTGGGTTGTTGGAAAAGTCATGATGCATTTTTGTGTTAAAAACAAACAAACAAACAAACAGAAAAAAAGGGGTCGGCAGGTGAAATAGTGGTTAAGGTGCTGGACTCCTATGTGGTGGACCATGGTTCAAGTCCTGGACCTGGCAGATTGAAACTCTAGGCGTGTGTGCAAACATGCCTAAAATCTCAAGAGAAGAATGGAAGAGAAAGGATTATGGCATGGCATCCCCTCTGGGGACGTGATTTCTTGCTTTCTGCCTCTGTCTCTCCAGCAAGCATATGGATTTTATAGCAAAAATCTCTTACTCTCAAAAAAAAAAAAAAAAGAAAAACAGAAACAATTATATCATGACTTTGCTGACTACCCAATAGATGAGGAAGTTCCCTTGTTCCCAGGTTTTTATTATAAGGGGATATTGAATTTGGCCAAATGCTTTTTCTATTAAGATGGTTGTGTAATTTTGTCCTTTATTGCACAGATAATGGTATATTGCAGTAGTTTTTGGATGTTAAGTCAACTTTGCATCCCTGGAATGAATGTCACTTTGTTATAGTATATAGTCTTTTATATGCTGCTGGATTTTACATGCTGCCAGTATGCTGGCCTTTTGTTGAGGATTTTTGTATCTCTATTCATAAGACATTGGCTGTAGTTTCCTTTTATTTTCTGTGGTTTTGGTATCAGTCTTTGGTATCATGTCTTTTGGTTTTTGATATTTTTTATAAAGAATTATTTAATTTTTATTTATTCATTCATTCATTTTAATTTGACCAGAGAGAAACACACACAGAGAGAGGGGAAGTGAGAAAGCAAGCCACCAGGTCCAGGACTCAAACCGCGGTTGGCCATGTGGGAGTGCCCAGCACCCTAAACACCATGCTACCTGTTGACACCATGTCTTTTGGTTTCGATGGAACATAGAATGAGTTGAGAAGTGTTCCTTCTATTTTCTAAGAGCATGATGAATTAATACTAGTTCTTATTTACATCATATGGAGAAAAGTTCTTTACAGGAGCCATTTCCTGGAACACGAGTCTGGTAGGTGCAGGTTAGGGGAGCAGGGACTGTTACCAACCTCACTGGAATAAAAAGTACTAACCACGGTAGTATGCCAGCGTATAGGGCTCAGGGAAAGTTTCACATTGTCAAGAAGAACTTGAAAACAGTGCTTTTTCCATTAATGCATAATGAACTAATATCGTGTCATTGAATTTCTCAAAGCACTAGTTCTTATATTGTGAATGTATTATTGGACAAAATACAAACTTACCAGTTCAGAATTCTGTGAGATTTCATTAAAAGTGGACACTTGTAGGAGCCCATGACTTGGGTTTAAAGCAAAGAGTGTTTAATCACAGCATGTTAAAGTTGCAAAGGTCATCTCATCCAGCTTTCTACCCTGCTAGAAGCCCATCAGTCACCAGTGGAATGCACTTTTCCCTGTACCAAAGGACCTGACTGAACAGCCACAACCACTGAGCAACACTGGCATTGGAAGTGGCTTCCTTCAACCGAGTGGCATTCTGCCTCACTGGGACCTCCATCTGCAGCTCCTGATTCTAACCCAGGGGCATAGAAGCAGGCTTTGTCTCTTCTGTCCCATTGGCTGTTTATCCCCAGTCCCTTCTACCAGTCTCCCAGGGAAATAGCACCAAACCTTATCAGTTCATAGTCTGCCACTCCCTTTCTAGAGGAATGGAGTGCTCAAATCTTTTTTTTTTTTTTTTTTTTTGGAGAGGTTTTTGCTATAGGGCACGTGCGCTCGCCAGACAGAGACAGAAAGCGAGAAATCACCCCCTAGGGGGGATGGTCACACCGCAATCCCTTCTCCTCCATTCTCCTCTTGGGATCTTGGGCACACACGCACACGCGCCCGGCGTGAGTTTTAAGCCACTGGGTCCGGGACGTGAACCGTGGTCGACTACGTGGGAGTCCAGCGACATAGCCATTACGCTAACTGTTGGTTCCCTGGAGTGCTCAAATCTTGTGGGCTGACCACAGCATAGAAGAACTCTCCCTTTGGTCTGGTCACTGTACTTGAAAAGTGCTACTGAAATAATTAGGGTATTTTTGTTTTGTTTTGAACCATTTTCTGTTTTTTCATTTTAGTTGTGTTGACGCCTGAACTGAGTCTTTCACATGAGCTGCAGCTTCTCATCTGCCTTTATTCATATAATCAGTTCTCACCGTATTGCGTTTCAGTGGCTTCAGCATTGCTCTTGAGACAGAAATAAACTCATTATACACTATGTAATTACAGTGCAATTAAAATGTGAACACGTGGTTGGATTTTATGGTAACAAATCTTCATTTGGGAATCTTGCAACTTCTATGTGCTAGAAACCACCCTGTTTTTCAGAATGTAATTCAGCACACTGAATGCAACGCTATCAAAATGAATGTGCATTTACAAGGCTGCAGTGTAATCAAGGAAAATGAAACTAGCGAGCCTAAATGTTTATATGTTTAAGATAGTACAGTTTTAACATTTTACATAAACGTGTACATGTTAACATTTACATAGAATACAGGTAACGTTATCTGAGGGCACGTCACATTCCTTAAGATCTGTCTCTGTCACCTGAAGTAGATGTACCTTTGGTCTTGGAGGTGTTCCTGTGTGTAACACTTCCACGTGTATTTCACCCCAAGCCCTCACTAAGGTCCTGTGGTAAAGACTCAAGTTTCATATTCACCAGCAGGTACCAGAGCTGGGATTCAAACCTGGAGCCAATTTTAAACTTTTTTTAAGAGGTTTTTTTTTTTTTTGCTTTAGGGCACATGCACTCACGGGAGAGAGAGAGACAGAGAGGGAGAGACAATAAGAGGTAAAGTGAGATATTACCCCCCCCCCCCAGGGAGGGGGGGCCATGCTGCAATCCCTTCTCCTCTGTTCTCCTCCCAGGATCTTGGACATGCATGCACATGCACCCGGCATGATTTTAAAGCCACCAGGTATGATACCTGAACCGCGGTTGGCCATGTGGCAGTCCAGTGACGCAACTGCTACACTATCTACTGGCCCCTGGATCCGACTTTCAAACCTATGCTCTGCCCACTCTCCAGAGCATGGTACTTTCCAAGTCTGTGGCAAATCCATCCCCCTTTAGAAAGTTATGTAAAAATAAAAACATGTAGGACTTACAGGCTAAAACACTGAAACATATTCCAAGCACCAAAAATACATGTCATTATTTTTTTGGCTTTTTAAAATCACTGTTTATTCCATTTGGTAGAGGGTTTTTTTTTTTTTTCATACAAATATTTGCAACAATTTTGAATTCCCCAAAACCATACATAGACGATAAATACCATGCTATTAAAGTATTAAATTTGTACAAAAATACTTTACAGTTTAATACTTGTTTGTTACA